GTGACGACACCTCCGCTTTAATTTTGGCGCGATGCGTCCGTAGCAACTCAGACATGTTTTTTTAGATACTTCTACTACTAGGGAGAACCTTCCTATCTAAGGGCGGGGACACGCGTCTAACATTGACGTAGTACCTCACCATATCATCGCATGTCTCACCCTATGGCGCGATCTGAATCAAAACAACACATTCCATTGATAGGATAATCCACGATATTTAATCCAGCTGCGTTCCTTCTTTAATTTTGAACCGTTCAATTTGTATAGACGGATTAAACGCACATACCCGAGAATTCAGTTTTGCGAATTCCTAACAAGCCATGAGGTGTATACTGAACAACGGGATTAATACAAAAATGTATTATAAATGAGCGTATTGATCATGGTCCGATGCCAGCCACTGTGACACCACTAAACGCCCTCACGAGGCAATGTGTTGACACGATGTGCGAGAGGTTGCCATGGTACTGCGATGTGCGGAGGCACCGTCCCTCAGGATAGTGGTGGAAGTAAATGAAGATATTTATTTTGATCTTATCCTTATTTGGATATTATACTCATACTCTAAGTCGAATGGAATAGGTGATTTTCCGTACAATTGCGAGATCTCGCGAGATGTATGAAAGACGCGCGTCGAACGTCTGCCGCAAAAGTCGAACGATTTGATTTTGAACTAGACTTTCTTTATTTCGTAACTCACATCGACCGGCCGATCTTCGACAGAGGAATATCGCTTCCGAATACCCTTACTTAATCGAAATTGCCTATCATGAAATGTGTACAGCACATTATTATGAATGGAAATGTCCCCAAAATACTTCGCGTTTGTCGAATCCCACGCGATGTTTGACGCCACTACGACGCTCATTCTCCTTCCCAGAGTTCCTTGCGGTTAGATCACCGAAAGTATATATTCATTCGTGATAGAACTCTGCCTGGGGAGATTGTACGACGCTATGACCTTTGTTTGTCCTGTTTTTACGTTCGATTTCACGCATAACGCGTGATTCTCGCAGTAAACAGAAAATGGTCTATTGAATATACCGCGTTTAAACAAATGAAGTGCGTATACTCACTGTGCCAGCATTCGGAAACTTCAGTCAAATTTATTGATACTTGATTTAGTATTTAATGGATTAGAACTCGCCTATCAGGACTATTTATGAAAACGGCACGAGTATTTTCAGAACGCACGTTCTTTAATGAATCGACACGCAGCCTTATTTGTAACAAATAGTAGCTAACATAGGAAGTAAAGCTAGTACTGTGGATGTATTAAGTAAAATTCGCTAAAGATAAATTGACTTGAAGATGTCAAATAACAATATAACCCGGTTGTTTACCTGTCAAATTCGTGAACGTCCATCCACATGCTCAAACATTAAAGAGCGGCAGTCGTCACGTCGCGTCCTGTTCGATATGGTACTCATAGCGACGTATACAACGCGTGTAAAATACATTGTTTATTTACATAAAAAATTGAACACGCGCTGCGCGACGACCACCGCGCTTTAATATAGTGAAATTAAATTCCAGTGAAAATATATGGGTTTACAGTAAATGACCCTGTCGTACATTGGGAGTTATTTATAAGCAACCTCCATATCTACTTCTATTCTGTGATAATATACGTATACTACCAGAGCACTAACATATTTTGGTGGAAGATTTTTTAATAATAATAATAATAATAATAATAATAATAATAATATTTTTTCATTTTAGTTTGATAATGCTAGATTAATTTTACATACTTATAACACGTTCCAATACAACTTGCATTGCTGTCCACGTTGTGTACTACGCTATTTTATTCATTTATTTATAATATTTGTATACTGTAAAATACTTTATTTTCGCTTGAAATTAATTTTCTCCATTTTCGCTGAAGGAATGATTTAGTGAAAATAAAATCCAGCGAATATACCTTTTTCCCTATATTTTACATTCAACTCATCAAAAATCAGTGAAAAAATAAATTTAAACTCCATAAAAAAACACCCAAAATGTTTTTTCAGCGAAAATTAATTCCAGCTAAAATAAAGTATTTTACAATACCATTAACGATTTGTGTGGGTGAGCTGCCTGGCGATATTAACGTCAATTCAAGAGTTTTATTTTCCTCTTCGTTATTATACTGTTGTTTTACGATACGTTTTGGTGTGTTGCTAATTGTCGACAATTTCTAGGTTTACACGAAGCAGTACGGGAATCAGCGAACCGAAAAACTCAACGCCGCAGCGACAACAACGAATACACGAGGCAACAAACTGTGGCGACGGGCGACTATTTGTCAGGCGACGTTGCCTGAGCTTTTTTGGCGACACAATTATATCGTTGACACGAGACAACTCGGAGGCAACTACGTCATGCGTTGCCTCGAGTCGTGACATTGCCATAAGATGGTAAATACATTGGCTTCGAAGAGTTCCAGCGCGTTACGCAATGATACGGTGTACATCTGATTGGCGCTGTCATATTTCAGTTTGTCAGAGATGACGTATATGGACTTCGTCGCCATAGACTATATCATAATGTCCATCATCATATCCTCTTTCGACTACACGGTCAAGGTCAAAGACAGATTACTCAATACAATTAACAAAACATTAAATAAATAAACTATATAATCATTGATGACAGCGCCTCGCCATTATAGTCCTGTAATTAAATGGTAATCGTATTTTCTAGAGCTGCTCAAAATATCTGCCCGATACGCCGTGTTTTAACAGTCATGTCGTCGGACTACAACTTTCGAGCAACCATTCAGTTGTGAATCAACCGGTCAAACGTGACCAACTACCTACTGGATTTGCCTACCCCCATTTTCACTAGAATATTTCTGTTAATTATTCTATCTATAAATGGCATTCGATAGTCTCCATGGCAACGGCGTTTAATATCGTGTTTCATATAGAACATGAATCGTCTGGCGCGATTATATGCATGGATGGCTGTATTACACCGGAGTATTCCAAGGTCACAGAGAAAGAGTCGTCTTTATCGAAGGACACACGTTTTCTTCTCGCAGGCTCTCACAATTTGAAATGTGATGGCGCTATCACCGCTAATAAGTGATGGCGCCACTACAGGGCGGAATCGTGGATTTCGCAATAACATACTTAAGTGTTGTATTTTTTTTACAGGCAAACAAATCATAAAAAAAAATGTGTCAATGATGAATCAATTACATGATGGAAGCCAATCAAAGCCTGGACCACTCATTTACGGAGTATGCATATTTTAGAGTCATTTAATGGTACTGTAAAATATGTCTTTTTAGCTAGCATGTTATTTTAGCTAATTTAGCCAATCTGTAATTTCGCTAATTCAAGATGCAGGTAATTTAACAAAGTCTATTCTCACAGGGAGAAAGTCGACGCTTTTAGCTAAATTAAGATTCTGTTAATTCATGCTAAGAGTCAAATCCGCTAAAATTGAATGTAGCTATTTTAACATGTTCTACAGTATTTTCTAATGCCACAGAGACTTTTGCACAGGTTAGTGTCTATCTTTGTTAGTTTTATTACGAGCGAGTTGTTTCTCTATTTCCAGCATAAAATAAAATACAGTGACTGAATAAGTTTCTAATTTACATGAAATATCCATTAATTGTGTACTGTTGTGAACAATATAATTGGTTACTTTGTAAGGTGTCCGCAACTGAGTCTTTAAGCCAAGCACATTTGACTGGTCTGATATTACTCCTACTATTGAATGGTGTGGTTCAGTCTGTAACCAAAATGTTTACTTTTCTGTTTTTGATCACATGGGAAACAAAATGAGTGTTGCACGTTTATACAAGACTTCTGATTACACAGATTTTTTTGATAATTTTCTCGCTAACGCTCCATTTGCGGCAGTGTTGAAAATACATATTTTATTATCTCCTGGGACAAAAAAATATCATTATATCTAGAACCACCAAGCTGTTAATTAAGTTGTAGAAATCTAGCTGTTTTATGAAAACAATTACCCTGGTAATAAACAAGAGGTTAGAAAAAAACTGTGGTTACCTGGCAAAATAAAAATTTTATAAATCTAATTAACAGTTAACTTTGAATGACGCATATGCAAATGATAATTATCTTCAGTATTATGTTCTAGTGTTCTCATTGTGATGATGATTGAGCTGATTCGTTCACATGCATGTCACAGACCAGTGACATTCAAATTCTATTTTATTTGCCGAAACACAATTTGAAGTACGGTAATAAACAATACTGGTAATCAGACTTTGAGATAAAATGAGTTGAATTGTACATGTACACTGAATTTTCTTGACACTGGAGCAGTTTTTTGATAAATATTTTAAACCTTTAAAAATGTCAATAATAAATTGAATATAAATTGTGCGCTCTGTGATGTATATTGGCATTGTTTTGATCTGTAGAGATATTTTACTATATTCAAGATAAGGTACGCCTACCCAACCAAACAAAGTAGTCGAATTGAACAACATTGCCTTCACTCATAAGCAAAATTTTGACTTCACAGTGGCATTCTATCACTATAGTGCACAATTTATAAAAATGGTGTAATACCTTGGCAGATAAATACCACAACAGTCAGTGTGATCTTCGACCAATCATGACAATTTAAGTTTTAGTTTAAAGACAAACTACAGTGATGATAATACTTTCATATTTAAAATATATATCTATGAACAACTAGTTTGAAGCATATTTGGCAGGATCCATGTATCACGTAAATTGAGGTACTTATGGGTAATGGGAATTTAATACCAAAGGTTTTCAATAAGCAAATGTATTGGAACTTCTGGGCAACCATTCAATGCAGAATACTATCTGTAAAGCACTCATTTGCCAAAACATGCAACATTTCAAAAGAAGCTGGAAATGGTACATTGTCACTGGATTGTTGAATACCCTGGATGTCCCGATTTTAAAATGTGTATGAAATTGTTTGTATGTACTAAAGCATTGCAGGATAATTGGTATATGAATTAACAAGATAACAGTAATATGACCATCACAGCCTACATTCAACTAATAATATTCCATTTAATGTGCATTGTTGTTTTCAGGGTTCTTTACATATGTGTGATCATACACACTGTGCTTACTGGACATGTGCATGCCTCTAATATCGCAGAGTATCCCTCGCAGTGAAAAGTACTGAACACTCAAAAACCAGTAACATCTGAAAATCTCGAATCTAAAAACTCTTTCATGTACAAAAATCGTTTTAGATCAATGTCAGTTGGAATGAAGGATGCTAGAATAATTCAGTGCCCTCTGCTGCCATGGTTACATGAATTCATCCGAATCATATCCGCCATCTTGATTGGAAGTCATTTGATCAGATGACATCAACGAAGAATAATTTCTGTGAATAAATTGAAAAGAAAATTAATTTGTTAGTTTTTTTTGCGTGGTAGTTTGATAAAAGAGCAATATTGTGGAATTTATACTCAAATCATCATCATGGACAGTAAACTGTACTGATCCATCACAGTGGTATTCAATAACTAGGTCACAGTACACCAGTGAGCTTGTATATGAGGCGACCTTCTTCTTGACGTTTAGTATGATTAAAGTAATCAAGCTCACATAACATATTTTTACGATATCTCAAAGTAAGATATATCACATCGTAACTTTGATAATCATTTGAAAGTGTTATTTGTTCGTTCATCACTGTGAAAGTAAACATTTTAGAAGGTGATGGTACGAATAATAAATTACAACAATCCACCAAATAATTACTTGGTCGATTTTTTGAAGGAGAGTGTTCTTGGAGTAAATAAGATCATGAAACTCGTGAACATATTCCTGGCTGAAACGTTTCATTTAACTTTTTACAATACACATTGCAACAATAATTCATTTGTTGCTGTTTTTAGTCTGCAGCATTTGCATTTCAAGAATGTTTCATTTTTAATTTCAAACTCTTCTAAATTATGAAACATAATACTAAAAATGATTTGCACTGTAACTGAGCTCATTAATATTCATTGACTCATTAATATTCATGAGTGACTGGCACTCCCATTGGGCTGGCAAGATCCCTGTATACTACTGGATTTTAATGTAAATTGAATATAGCTGGTGGGCCCTTATTAGTGGTTCAAAATTTAAAAAAATGATCATCAACTATTTTTTGGGACAAAAGAAACCACTGCAGAAACTAATCTAAAATTTTTTCTTGCTGAATTAAAAAGTAGATTGCTCAAAATTTTATTACAATGTCACCTAGTGTCATCTTTCTCCAAAACAATCACATTAATGAACCTCGTACGCCAAATACAATTATTATTTTTTAATTTTATTGGTAACGAAAGTATATTCTATAAGAAGTTTTAAATAAAAACTAACACAACTGCATTGCTTAGTAGCAAATGATCACAGTTACGCAATCCGGTCATGCTGTGTTGCACAATTGTTGAGAATTACTCAGTACCGGTAGTGATTATAATAATGAACAACAAATTTGTTGAATTTGTTGAATTGTTATGAAATGCAAATAAAATTCAACTTAGTTTCATCGTAAGCAAATGATTCCGGTTGCATATTATAAATGCTCGAAGCTGTAGGATATCCGCCATGTTTTCCATGAGTTGATGATAGGTCAAATCTCTTATTAACCAATCAAAATGATGGATGATGCCAACGTGTCCAAATGACCATAGCTTATTTAAATATGTTAATGTTATTGAACGCAACGCGAAAAAGATTTGCTGATGTTGTAGTACGATCCTTTGGCTTGGATTTTGATGGGAAAATGGCATGATTTTTTTAAATAAAAATTTTTTTGTTTACATAAGACAAACTGAGCATTTGAAGAACAATTTAACATTGCTTACAGTGATAACAGCTCATTGTCGAAATGAAGCTTACCCATTCACGCTAGTCGCAATAAACATCATACTGTTGAATAGGCATCAATGACTACGATAAAACTTAAATTAGACTATTTTAGGCGCCAAGAAAGATTGAAATGTTCAAAATATGATGACAAAATATAAAAAAATCGCCCTGTTTAGCGGCTTAGGGCCAATTTACGACAGAAACCTATGTATAAGATCACACAAGGAACCAGTGATGGACAATAGACATCTTGTCAAATATTCTTTGCTTTGAATTTTCATTTAATGGAAAGGCAAATTTAAACGATACGAGACAGATTTTTTAAAAATTTTCAGACATGTGTCTTATAAGTAGTGAATTCTCACTACTCACCTTAGCTCAGCCGCTTCCTTTTTCCTCTTGGCTTCCTCTTTTTCCTGTTCTCTTTTACATTTCTCCACTTTCCTTTGCTTAGCCCTCTCCTCCTTATCTCGCTGTTCTCGTTCAGCTTGCAGATCGGGATGCCGTTCTTCTTTCGTCTTGTTTAGTCGATTCACCACTTCGTTAATTCTTTTGTCAACTTTGATGTTTCGTACCTATGATAATATATCAAATGACATACAACATTTGGGGTAGCATCAAAGGTACAATGTTAGTTTTCCCTCAGACCACCTTTGATAATATAGCAAACATGTTTAATTTGTGTCATAAGAAGAACAACAAAACAAAATGGCAGTTTCATAAAAATTTCCTTAAGGCCTCAGTAAATAAAATTTTCTCATCAAACAGTTTTACTTCGAAATGCTTAATTGTTCTAGTTGATAATGCCCATATAATAGAAACCACGCCTACTTTTGAGAAACCATGCCCAAATTGTAATTCAATGTTCAATTAACAGTTAACAGAACCTTGTGTAATGGGCAACATGCATTTTTGTCTTTGTTGAATATCCACATTTAGTAACCCAAACATTAATTAACAGTTAACTGAACTTCGAATCAGTGAAAATAAAATCCAGTGAAAATGTTATGACAGAACCCCACACCCTCCCCGTG